CCCCCCCCCTTCCCGACCACTGTGCGCCGCAACGGAACTCCAATTTGTAAAACACCGTGTCCCGCGTCGGATTAATGACGAGGCGGAGAAAAAGCTGCACCGTCGACGACGGCAATCGATTCTTGCTCATAATCACCGCGGAATCGGGTCCATTCTGGAAGAACACGGCTCCCGAAAGTTCGTCTCGCCGATCCATCCTCGTCGGGGTAAGTCGCGCCCCGCTCGCCGGATGCAAATGAGCCTTCGCGTAAATTCATTTATCCGCGCGCGGCCTATGAGGTCGTCTACTTTTTCGCGAGCCCGAAGTGCGCGTGGGTAGGTGGGAAAAACGTGCGATACATTTGTCTCGAATTGAGAGAGGGGAAATTTGTGGTCCCGCGCTGCTTTGAATATCTGCGAGATCCTACTCGTCAATGAACACCGACGATGATACAATCCATTCTCTCCCTATCGCCCGCCGACGTCGTCGTTGCTATTATTGATTCGCCGATATATCGCGTCGATTCGATATTAATCTCGCTGCGAGCCGATTCGCGAATATGGGATATAAATTCGTAAAACGGGGTCACACGTGCGACATTTTGTTGTCTAAGATGTCGCGCGGCGCGGTTGATTTGATATTTGGCACCGCTCTAATGCCACGGACGCCGATCGCGCGCGAATATAGGGCAAATGTTTTCTTTGTTAATATCTTAAGGAGATCCTTGAACGTTTTCCATCACTATTTTGGTTTCGTTAACCCAAATATTCGATTGACACGCGCCCGAGACTTCCTTCGCGAGTCTCGCGGTCTTAATCATTCATCAGCGTCGCCGTATATATTACCGTCGACTTGATTATCAAGTCCATTAGAAAAGATGAATTAAAATAGTTTTGGCCCGTAGAGAGATATTATATATACGAGAGCGGAACAGTAAATGGACAAAAAACTATTCAATCGATTGATAAGCAAATTTGCTGCTCGTGAAATGGACAAGAAGTTTTTCTGAATAAAACTCTGTCAAGTTCTTACGCAATATTGCCACAATTAATGAGAATGCATTAACACCAGACAGCAACTGGATAGATATCTAAGAAAATTGCATACATCTCTGTCAGGGATTGTGTACGATATTATTATTTCTCGTTGCACGACAGGTGCCATTACTTTTTGCCACAATGTGATACCCGTTCCGCGAACGAATCGACGTATATGCGCGGCTTTGAAAAGCGCGCGACTTTTCGCGCGAGATAGGATATTGCAATAGCCGTGTGTTCAAACGAGTCACTACACACGGAGAGAAAAGAAAGAAAGAGGCACGGTGGGTGCGAAGCAAGCAGCGCGGTCATGTCCATAAATGCCGTTTTCGCCGAATGAGACTCGAATCGAGAGCGCGCGTAGAAACCTCCTCTCGCGGCCATTTCCAGTCTAATTATATGCAAAACGCCGCTTACGAGCGGAAACTCGATTTCTCAGGCGCTGTAAATTCCGCACGGAAAGGCGGGGGACTTATCTTCGTTTTCGATAAGCCGTGTGTACGTTCGTCAGGCGGGCCAACGACGCCGCCGCAACTCGGCGCAACTTCGTGTGACTCTCGAAAGTTCGCTTCGGAAATTGAGGCGGATACGTATCTGGAGCTGATTTACATAGAAAAATGTCTCGCGCCACGCGAAACAGAATCGCCCCGACGGCGGTGCGGCCATAGAGGCAACGTAACGAAACGTGCGCTCGCTCGCTCGTGCGCCGAACGAAAATCGATATCGGCCGAGAGTTACTCCCGTTGGCAGCGAAAGTTACAGTCAAATTTCAACCGTCATCCCCCGCCTCTCTTTGCCTCGATAATATTGATCTTGCCGGGCCCCCCGCGCGCGCTATAAAACTTCGCGTCGCTGATCTTCCGCGCGCATGGATCCTTTGCTACCCTCACATAATTTTTTCGCCAACTCGTTATTTGTCGGACGCGGATCGATTATCCCCCGAGCGCTCGCCTGCATTACCCGTCCCGCACGCTCCGTGTTCTTTAACGCGATGACCACCTCAACCAAGACTGCGCCGTACATTTTCAGATGTCGATACGGATAATTTATGTATCGTCTACGTGATGTT